TACCTATATATATATATTTATAGAAAAGAAAAAAAAAACAAAGATAAAGAAAAAAAATATCCCTAAAGCGATAGGCAGCATAAATTTTTTTTTTGTGGCATGTTTCAAGCCAAACACAAAAATCCCGCAGTGTAAAACGAGGCAACAGCAACAGCATAAGAAGAAGAACCAAAAAAGAAAACTTGTTTGAAACAAGCAAACGCCAAGACGAGAGACAACGACGACGAACAAGACGCTAAAAGGCAATTTAAACTCTGTGCCTGAGACGTGCCAAGCAAAGCAGAAACAGAAGCAACAACAGCAGCGGCAACGGCAGCAGCGGCATTTGCAGTCGTCTGCTTTTTCAGCCAAAGCGAAAAAAAAAAAGTATCAAACGCGATTGGCGATTAGCGATAGGCGATAACATAAAAAACAATATAGCAGCATGGACGAAGATGACAACATATCCAATGCTGATATAAGTATCGATGAGGAAGACGACGATGAGCCGGAACAACAGTCTCATCAGCATCCACAGCAACAAGAACAACATCCCCCTCCACAGCAGGATAACAACAGACGAAGAGCAGGCAATGAGGATCGCATCGACACTGACGAGCTTGAGGCGTATCCGCAGCAATTTCAGCTGGCTAATGTGGCCAGCAGCAGCAGCAGCACAAGCAGCAGCACCACAAGCGCCGACAGCGGCGGAGCGGCGCGCACTGGGGCCACCGACTCTGGTGCAACCGGCAATTCACCGTTCCACGATTGGGATACACAGCAGAGCAACGCACGCAGCAGTAATAGCAATGCCGGCAGCGGGCTAACAGCGAGTACGGATGAAATGAACGAAGGCGGTGCCGGGAATGCGGGTGCCAAGCCGAGCTTCTTCTTTAGCACATCATCGTTCATATTGCGTAGCCGCAAGGAGGTAGCCGCCCTAATCAATACAGAATGTTGCCGTGGCAGCCCGACGCCCGACTTGGATTCCATTATGGATACATTATTTAATCCTGGCACGCCCATCGACAATCCCGATAATATTGAGTGGATACGCTGGCTGATCGCTGGCGGTCGAACGCCCAAGGAATTTGTCAAAATTGGTAAGTACACAATGAGCCAAAGAGAAAGAGAGGAAACGAAAGAGTGCGCGCGTCATAACAAAGTTGTCAAAATTGTTAGTTCAATTTATCGATAAATCTCGCTAGCGATGTTTGTATCGTTAACACCAGGGCTAAGCCAGCTGATCGGCCAAGTCATTGCCCCTGAAATTGGCTCCGTGTTAGTGCTTGCTGTTAGTGTGCGCTCGCGTATGTGTGTGTGTGTAGGGCATGGTATATGGCACGCAAGTAAAAGCAAGGTGCAAGCAGCGTGACAGTGCAACGCCATGGTAACAAAAAACAACACAATCAAATTATATATTACATATATATGAACATAGAGCCTAATCAAACAGAAACACATATATATATATATATATATACAATCACAGTAAGAGGCATTTACATTCGTTAACTTGAGCCTATTTAGCACACATTTAATCTGGCAGCATTATCTATTTACATTGTGCCAGGCAGAGTGCGTCGCGAACATTGGCAACCCCCAGATGGCCGTCGCTGTCCCACTTGTCACACGCACACACACGCACATGGCTAGCTGTTGCACCTTGTGCCTGTCAGCTGTTGTTCGGCTTGCCTTGCGTAATGCTTCCGCAGCATTTTTTTTTATAAACGCATCTGCGTGTGTGCGAAAAATGCGATTGAGTTTTTTTTTTTGTTGAAGAGAGCGGTTGTTTTGCTCTCTTTTTCAAATGTTTTTTTTTTTTTGTTTTTTCTTTAATTTAGCAAGACGCTTGATTATATGTATGTGTGTGAGTGTATGTGCAAATAAGAAAATCATTTCAAACAATTGCAAAATTGCAAATGAAAACGCTACGTGCTAGTGCCATGGAAACAGACATACACTCGGTAATATCTCTACACGCACACACACATATGAAAGGTGGTACACTGGGAAAAGTTTATTGACCGTCATTGTTGTTGATTTGACAATTGTGTTGACACGCCATGTTTCATGCACAGTGCAGGCAGTACATGAGATACTGAGCGAAAGCTATGTATGCTCATAAATATTACACACACAATTTCACATTGCAAATGCCGGCTTTCGAACCACAGTGCAATCTGCATACATTTCTTGTTCGCTCGCGCACTCGCTCTTGTTCTACTTTTTCATTATACTACTCTCTTTTGGGCCTTGCAATTGCTTGTTGACCGACCGTTATTGTTGTTGCCACATGCTAACATACATACATATATAAGCATGTGTATGTGTGCAGTATAAATTGCATTTGCTCATTCAATTTGCTGAAAGAAATACTAAAATCATCAAATGGCTATTTAATCGAACTTTGTCAACAAAAAAAAAAAAAAAAGAGAAAAGACATGGCATCAAGTGGGAATGGGGTGGGGCATACGCAGAGTTGCACAGCGACTTGTCGATCGCCATTGCCAGACTATTTTACAAAATTGTCAATCAATTTTACAGCTTTGCTGCCGTTGTTTGTGTTGTTATTGTTGCATTGCCCTTTTTCGATTGTTTGCCTTCCGATTTACGTTTAACCTTTTTTTTGCCTAGGCCCAGCCGAAGACAAGTCACGCAACACATTATATATGCCAAACAGCAATGAGTGCATCATATTTATTTTTGGAATTTAATTAAATCAATAAAAAGAGCGTATCAACAGCGGCAACAACATCAACAACAGGCGGTTTTACGTCTCTGGGCGTGATCAAGCTATGCAAAATATGCTATCGTGACCAGTGCTGGCAGTTGTTGGCTAAAAACAGGCTAGTTTCAGAAAAAAAAAAGCATAATTGTGTATATCAAATAAATTTTAGTTTTATTATAACTTGAATACTGAATAATAAAAAATAATGAAAGCCACAATTAAGTGAAAAAAAAAACAGTATATTGCTTTTAGTTGAATGAAAAAAAGCTAAATCGTTTGAACAGATTATTTTGACAACACGTACTTCAGCTTACGATAGGTACCAAAACAAACTATGCAAACATCGATAACGCATATGAAAGCCGCATTTCTATTTGAAAATTCTGATAAAGAATTCAATGAAATTTCATATGCAAACAAAAAAGCTTTCGCGTAGACTATCGCATGGAATATCGTACTATTGCAAATCGATAATAATAACCGCTTTTGAAGCGTTATAATTCAAATGCACAAATATCGCTGTATTGAAGTAACTAAGTCGACTTTGTCATTTCAATTAGGACAGTTGTCAGTGTCGAAGTGTAATATTTCAAGCGAGCAACATCGCTCACATTGCTAGCATCGGTCACTTCTAAAAAAAAAAAAAAATAAATAAGTACTTTATTCGAATTCAATATTCATTACTTGCATTAACTAATTAAAGATGTCCTCTCCAGTTCGCAGCTATGATAATCATGCCAAATGCGGCCTGGTCTGGGTGCCCCATGTGGTGGCATATCGCTGTCGCACCTGCGGCATCTCGCCCTGCATGTCCATATGTCGGGATTGCTTCAAGAAGGGCAATCATAACAACCATGACTTCAACATGTTCTTGTCGCAGGCAGGCGGCGCCTGCGATTGCGGCGATACATCGGTGATGAAGGCTGAGGGATTCTGCAGTGATCATGGCATCAATAATCGTGTCAACCGGGAACCAGTCCCCAATAATCTATTGGCCGTGGCGGAGGCGATTATGCCAAAGCTGCTGTTCCGGCTGCTGCAGCATTTTCGGGAGCACAGCGATGCCTCACTGCAGGCGCACTCCATCACCTCGTATTCGTGCGAGGCCTTCGCCAATATGCTAATCGACTTGAACAACATGGGCGAAATTATGCGCAAAGTGATGACCCGCACGCTAATCAATCCCGATGTCTATTCATATTTTATGGAAACACCTTGTCAGGATACGCGCAACGGACGCTTTCTGAAGGCCAACCGTGAGAAATATGAAGATGCAGTCAATCGGTTCCCCAATCCCGAGCCACCCGATGAGTATCGCGATTTGCCAGCTTTGGGCAAGAAGCTGGTGCATACAACACTACTCGAGGAATTCATATTTTGGACATTCAAGTTTGAATTCCCGCAAACGTTGGTCTGCTTTCTGCTCAACATGTTGCCCGATCAGGATTACAAGGTGAACACATAGATCCCTGCGTGCAGTTTGCAATTTTCATATAATAATTTGTATAATTTTAGGAACATCTGACGCGTACATTTGTGATGCACTACAGTCGCATTCCATCGGTGCTTGAAATGTCCAGGGATCCGGATACGCTTAGCAACCGGGTTGTCCATATGAGCGTGCAGCTATTCTCCAACGAGAGCCTGGCCCTTAAAATGGTCAACGAGCTGTCGCTGTTACATGTGATGATAATCAGTTTAAAACTGATGATGTCCAAGATACTCATACAAAATACGCTGCACGGTAATGCAATCAATGAATCAATCACAATCAATCAAATTACTCATTCTGTATTTGTTTTTTACAGATCCCGCAAAGAATTTTCACTTTGTGATCGATTGTACGCGTCAGGTGATGAAGGATCATTGCTATTGGCCACTCGTATCGGACTTTAACAATGTCCTCTCGCACGAATCAGTCGCATTGGTCTTTCTGCGCGACGATAATCTCATTGATATGTGGTTTCAGTTCCTGCAAATGTTGCAGGGCATGAATGTGAATGTCAGAGAAACGGCATCGCATGTGGAGTTCGAGCCGAATAGCTATTATGCGGCATTCTCGTGTGAACTGGAGGCCAGTGCCTATCCCATGTGGTCCATCATATCTCATCTGCAGGATGGCACACATGCCCACCTCGCCAAAAAGATCATCAACTACTGTGTGACAACGCTGCACGAATGGCTAGACTCGATCTACTTCAGGGAGCCCAAATTGTCGCTGGTACAATCCCATTACAATTATTTAACTGTATTGCCTATATGCCTATAATTCTGTTATATTTGTAGGAGGAAATGATGCAGGCCTCGTTTCATTTTCCGCTGCATCGATATCTAGCCGCCTTTGTCTGTCAAGCCGTCACCAAAATGGGCATCAGCCTCAGCGATGTGCTGCCCTCACGTCCCGACATTTTGCCCTTGCTAATGATACATCCATTGCGTGTGCAGGTGAGTTATACTATTCCAATATATATCTATATGTCTATTTAGCCTGTAAGCAGCATTGTATCAACTGTTTTGAACTGTTTCACTGCTGGCTTCAATCCTCAAATATTTCTCAAATACAAATCAAAATGAGATATGCCACATCACATATACATATCTATGTCTGTCTTTTTTCAATTTCAATGTTTGTTGTTATATTGTTAACTCGATGTTTAAAGATACATTTTGTCTCAATCATTTTTAAACTTTTCTATATTTTAGAAAGAGACTATCACTACTCCATTACGTCTTTGAGTGGCTGATGATTTTATATTTATAATTTATAAAGATTTGTTCTCGTTAGCCCGGATAGCGGATAGCGGATAGCTTCTGTATCCACTTTTAACTTTTCTATTTCTATGTTTGTCCAATATGCAACAACTTTATATCATCGTTATCTATCAAATCCGATAGCTTCTATATACATTTTGAGCTTTTCTATATTTCTAGTTAGACCAAAATGTCTTTGAGTAACCGACAATTATTTTCATAGCTATCGGAAACTAACGATTTCTATTATTTTTTTTTTTTAACGGTTGAATTGTTTGTTTTTCTATTTTTTTTTTGTTTTTTTTTTTTTTTTATTATTATTAGTTACATACGCCTATATTTTGTATGCCAATAGGTAACGTGTATTTTGTTTATAACTAAAAATTTCAATTTCAAGTTTGTTTCTTTTTGTGTTTCATACCTGTCAGTAGATTTTTTTGTATCGATAAGCAGCAATT